GACTAACTGGAAGGGCTACTGGAGAATTGTGCTGATAGAGACCTCTGCTGGTGAGTAATGGAATATTGCTTGAGTGGTCATGACAGGACCTCCTTCAACAAATACTTGAATAAAATGAGTTTGCTTTTCTGTCTTTTAAAACAAAAACAACAGTATAAGTTCAAGGAATTGTGTCTTAGACAATTAATAAAAACAGACATGTATTGTACTCATTTAAAGATCCTCTCCTCTTCCTCTTTTTCAAAACTTCAATCTTTTTAACTTTTCATTCCCAGACAAATTCAAGTCAAAATAAACTGTCTAAAAACTATTCCTATCGTGATGCAGGGAACTGATCTTTCCCAATCTAATCCTGCCCTGTATTAATTTCTCATTACATCCATATTTAAAGAACACCCTCCTCTGTGTGCTTGAAGATGAAAATAGACTTTAAAACAGTGATTGGAATTTGCCTTGATTGACTGGTCAGCGTCACGCAGTCACAGCTAGCTTCCAGTTGAGTGCAGAATTTACAAGAAAACAGAGCTGTAAAGTAAAAATTCAAATGAAACTTAAGCTACATTTGATTTGTTTTGTTTTTTTAATTGAGTAAACTGGAGGAGACTTGTTTGTCTAAATGTAATCATTCATATAAGAGTTTATCAAGGTAAAGAGAAACGTCTCAGGTTACTTATGTAACCATGGTTCCCTGAGTAGGGAACGAGACACTGCGTCCTCTAGGGGTCGCTATGGGGGGGGAACGCCTCGTCGTGACCCGTGTCTGAAGCATACATTGAAAAAACCCCAACTCGTTGGCCGGCGACAGCCATGACGTCACTACCGGTGCGACTACAGTATAAATAGGCGCCGGGAGCACACATCATTCACTTCTTCGTCTGAAGCTTGCGTCCGCAGCATGGCAAGAAACCTAGAGGACGCAGTGTCTCGTTCCCTACTCAGGGAACCATGGTTACATAAGTAACCTGAGACGTTCCCTTTCATGGGAACTTCGACCTGCGTCCTCTAGGGGTCGCTATGGGGGGGGAACGCCTCGTCGTGACCCGTGTCTGAAGCATACATTGAAAAAACCCCAACTCGTTGGCCGGCGACAGCCATGACGTCACTACCGGTGCGACTACAGTATAAATAGGCGCCGGGAGCACACATCATTCACTTCTTCGTCTGAAGCTTGCGTCCGCAGCATGGCAAGAAACCTAGAGGACGCAGTGTCTCGTTCCCTACTCAGGGAACCATGGTTACATAAGTAACCTGAGACGTTCCCTTTCATGGGAACTTCGACCTGCGTCCTCTAGGGGTCGCTATGGGGGGGGAACGCCTCGTCGTGACCCGTGTCTGAAGCATACATTGAAAAAACCCCAACTCGTTGGCCGGCGACAGCCATGACGTCACTACCGGTGCGACTACAGTATAAATAGGCGCCGGGAGCACACATCATTCACTTCTTCGTCTGAAGCTTGCGTCCGCAGCATGGCAAGAAACCTAGAGGACGCAGTGTCTCGTTCCCTACTCAGGGAACCATGGTTACATAAGTAACCTGAGACGTTCCCTTTCATGGGAACTTCGACCTGCGTCCTCTAGGGGTCGCTATGGGGGGGGAACGCCTCGTCGTGACCCGTGTCTGAAGCATACATTGAAAAAACCCCAACTCGTTGGCCGGCGACAGCCATGACGTCACTACCGGTGCGACTACAGTATAAATAGGCGCCGGGAGCACACATCATTCACTTCTTCGTCTGAAGCTTGCGTCCGCAGCATGGCAAGAAACCTAGAGGACGCAGTGTCTCGTTCCCTACTCAGGGAACCATGGTTACATAAGTAACCTGAGACGTTCCCTTTCATGGGAACTTCGACCTGCGTCCTCTAGGGGTCGCTATGGGGGGGGAACGCCTCGTCGTGACCCGTGTCTGAAGCATACATTGAAAAAACCCCAACTCGTTGGCCGGCGACAGCCATGACGTCACTACCGGTGCGACTACAGTATAAATAGGCGCCGGGAGCACACATCATTCACTTCTTCGTCTGAAGCTTGCGTCCGCAGCATGGCAAGAAACCTAGAGGACGCAGTGTCTCGTTCCCTACTCAGGGAACCATGGTTACATAAGTAACCTGAGACGTTCCCTTTCATGGGAACTTCGACCTGCGTCCTCTAGGGGTCGCTATGGGGGGGGAACGCCTCGTCGTGACCCGTGTCTGAAGCATACATTGAAAAAACCCCAACTCGTTGGCCGGCGACAGCCATGACGTCACTACCGGTGCGACTACAGTATAAATAGGCGCCGGGAGCACACATCATTCACTTCTTCGTCTGAAGCTTGCGTCCGCAGCATGGCAAGAAACCTAGAGGACGCAGTGTCTCGTTCCCTACTCAGGGAACCATGGTTACATAAGTAACCTGAGACGTTCCCTTTCATGGGAACTTCGACCTGCGTCCTCTAGGGGTCGCTATGGGGGGGGAACGCCTCGTCGTGACCCGTGTCTGAAGCATACATTGAAAAAACCCCAACTCGTTGGCCGGCGACAGCCATGACGTCACTACCGGTGCGACTACAGTATAAATAGGCGCCGGGAGCACACATCATTCACTTCTTCGTCTGAAGCTTGCGTCCGCAGCATGGCAAGAAACCTAGAGGACGCAGTGTCTCGTTCCCTACTCAGGGAACCATGGTTACATAAGTAACCTGAGACGTTCCCTTTCATGGGAACTTCGACCTGCGTCCTCTAGGGGTCGCTATGGGGGGGGAACGCCTCGTCGTGACCCGTGTCTGAAGCATACATTGAAAAAACCCCAACTCGTTGGCCGGCGACAGCCATGACGTCACTACCGGTGCGACTACAGTATAAATAGGCGCCGGGAGCACACATCATTCACTTCTTCGTCTGAAGCTTGCGTCCGCAGCATGGCAAGAAACCTAGAGGACGCAGTGTCTCGTTCCCTACTCAGGGAACCATGGTTACATAAGTAACCTGAGACGTTCCCTTTCATGGGAACTTCGACCTGCGTCCTCTAGGGGTCGCTATGGGGGGGGAACGCCTCGTCGTGACCCGTGTCTGAAGCATACATTGAAAAAACCCCAACTCGTTGGCCGGCGACAGCCATGACGTCACTACCGGTGCGACTACAGTATAAATAGGCGCCGGGAGCACACATCATTCACTTCTTCGTCTGAAGCTTGCGTCCGCAGCATGGCAAGAAACCTAGAGGACGCAGTGTCTCGTTCCCTACTCAGGGAACCATGGTTACATAAGTAACCTGAGACGTTCCCTTTCATGGGAACTTCGACCTGCGTCCTCTAGGGGTCGCTATGGGGGGGGAACGCCTCGTCGTGACCCGTGTCTGAAGCATACATTGAAAAAACCCCAACTCGTTGGCCGGCGACAGCCATGACGTCACTACCGGTGCGACTACAGTATAAATAGGCGCCGGGAGCACACATCATTCACTTCTTCGTCTGAAGCTTGCGTCCGCAGCATGGCAAGAAACCTAGAGGACGCAGTGTCTCGTTCCCTACTCAGGGAACCATGGTTACATAAGTAACCTGAGACGTTCCCTTTCATGGGAACTTCGACCTGCGTCCTCTAGGGGTCGCTATGGGGGGGGAACGCCTCGTCGTGACCCGTGTCTGAAGCATACATTGAAAAAACCCCAACTCGTTGGCCGGCGACAGCCATGACGTCACTACCGGTGCGACTACAGTATAAATAGGCGCCGGGAGCACACATCATTCACTTCTTCGTCTGAAGCTTGCGTCCGCAGCATGGCAAGAAACCTAGAGGACGCAGTGTCTCGTTCCCTACTCAGGGAACCATGGTTACATAAGTAACCTGAGACGTTCCCTTTCATGGGAACTTCGACCTGCGTCCTCTAGGGGTCGCTATGGGGGGGGAACGCCTCGTCGTGACCCGTGTCTGAAGCATACATTGAAAAAACCCCAACTCGTTGGCCGGCGACAGCCATGACGTCACTACCGGTGCGACTACAGTATAAATAGGCGCCGGGAGCACACATCATTCACTTCTTCGTCTGAAGCTTGCGTCCGCAGCATGGCAAGAAACCTAGAGGACGCAGTGTCTCGTTCCCTACTCAGGGAACCATGGTTACATAAGTAACCTGAGACGTTCCCTTTCATGGGAACTTCGACCTGCGTCCTCTAGGGGTCGCTATGGGGGGGGAACGCCTCGTCGTGACCCGTGTCTGAAGCATACATTGAAAAAACCCCAACTCGTTGGCCGGCGACAGCCATGACGTCACTACCGGTGCGACTACAGTATAAATAGGCGCCGGGAGCACACATCATTCACTTCTTCGTCTGAAGCTTGCGTCCGCAGCATGGCAAGAAACCTAGAGGACGCAGTGTCTCGTTCCCTACTCAGGGAACCATGGTTACATAAGTAACCTGAGACGTTCCCTTTCATGGGAACTTCGACCTGCGTCCTCTAGGGGTCGCTATGGGGGGGGAACGCCTCGTCGTGACCCGTGTCTGAAGCATACATTGAAAAAACCCCAACTCGTTGGCCGGCGACAGCCATGACGTCACTACCGGTGCGACTACAGTATAAATAGGCGCCGGGAGCACACATCATTCACTTCTTCGTCTGAAGCTTGCGTCCGCAGCATGGCAAGAAACCTAGAGGACGCAGTGTCTCGTTCCCTACTCAGGGAACCATGGTTACATAAGTAACCTGAGACGTTCCCTTTCATGGGAACTTCGACCTGCGTCCTCTAGGGGTCGCTATGGGGGGGGAACGCCTCGTCGTGACCCGTGTCTGAAGCATACATTGAAAAAACCCCAACTCGTTGGCCGGCGACAGCCATGACGTCACTACCGGTGCGACTACAGTATAAATAGGCGCCGGGAGCACACATCATTCACTTCTTCGTCTGAAGCTTGCGTCCGCAGCATGGCAAGAAACCTAGAGGACGCAGTTCGAAGTTCCCATGAAAGGGAACTGAAAGTTTCTTCTTTTGCTCGAGTAAATTTCCGTTGGGACACACCCTGAATAAGCTTCCTGTTCATAAACCTGCTTTCAGAAGATCTGCGCTCAGTGTTAGAATCAATATCAGAGGTAAGTCACCACTGTTTGTTTGTGTTGAGTTCAAGTAGGCATATTTAGTCTTTTTTCCTCCTATTTTTGTTCACTTACACATGGTAACTAGTTTCCACTAATATCTTATGCAAACCAAGATTATCTGTGGTCCAGGTGCAAACATGTGGGCTGAAGACGACTTGGGTCAAATTGCTCCACCATGCCTTGAGAGTTACATAGTGTTAATTTAGTCAGCTATTTTCAATTTTAGTCTTAGTCTTAGTCCCGTGTTAAAATGTCCAAGGTTGTTAGTTTTGATCATATTTAGTCAACCGTATCCTATTTAGTTTTAGTCAAGTTTTAGTCGACTAAAAGTTTCAACATTTTAGTCTAGTTTTAGTCCAAGAAAATCTGAAGTATTTTAGTCTAGTTTTAGTCAATGAAGAATTTACTTTTGCATTTCAGACATTGCACTTTCACCAGTAAGCACAAATCAATAGAATGTGGACTCATACACATGGTTTATTTTACCTCATCTAGTGTACTGATTTATTATAGACTTTTTATTATATCAATTAATACCAAAGACTGCAATCACTCTGTCTACATTATGAAAACAGCTAAAACAAGCGAAAATATAACAGTGAAATTCCTAGTAATTCCACTAATTCCAAATTGCAATAGCCTATTTCTCTATTAAAATAACAGCGGGTGAGTAAGTGCATTTATTCCGCGACCACAATAGTAACACAGTCGAGATCTCATGACAGAGCACAGACCGACTGAATGATGCTTTCAATTAGATCGCTACACTCCAGCTTGTTTGTCTGTGTTTTCATATCATCGTCGGCGGCGCTTCAGCAATGAGGAGTGAGCGCGTGCGCATGGTTGCCAGATTGCTTAAAATAAGCAAAACACCGGGCAGAAGATGTATCCATGTAACAGCGAAGTTCTGATTTTGAACTCTTGATATCTGGCAACCGCACACATGAACGCTCTAGATGCGTGTACTATAGAGCAGTATGCAATAACATTTGTCTCCTTTTTTGACGAAAATAAAAGTAGGTTTTTGGTAAAGTTTTTATTTTTTTAATACATTTTAGTCTCGTCTTATTTCGTCAACGAAATTGCATGTTGATATAGTCATAGTTATCGTTTATTGACCTTATTATCGTCTCGTCTTCGTCTCGTCACGTTAGTCATGGCCAAAAACCTCGCCAACGAACATTTTTCGTCATCGTCTTGTTCGTTAACGAAATTAACGCTAGAACCAGAGGACGGTAACATCTACATAATGTAGTCTATCATGGCACATCCAGGGAGAATGCTGAAAAAAGTCTCTGGCTTCAAGCAGTCTTCTGAAAAACGCATGTTTGGACGTGGTGTCTGCCGGGATCTAGAGAAGGCTTCCAGATATCGGTCTGGATCTACCTGAGAACGAGAGAGTGGTTCTGAGAGCAAAGGTCAATGCTGGGAGAGTAAAGAAGATTGACCGTCAACTTCATCCAATGCAGAAAACCTGGCATGATCACGGGTACGACACTGCATGGTGTCCTCCAAAATGTGGCATGGTGCCAAGTGGTCTTGAAGAAAACTGTGTTTGGGATCCAAAATGTATCACAGATTTAATTTATCCAGTGAAGGAGGAGCAAAGTGCTTGTAGAATCTTCTGAAGATGTTGAACAGGTTAAACCACTAAAACTCTTTGAAACTTACATTTTTTTATGGTTCCAATGTTTTATCCCAGTACGCAATAGTGTGTTGAATACAAAGTGTGCATTCAGGATCAAAACACATATTTGTACATACAAATTTGTGCATTATACAATGAATTTGTTTAAATGTTGTTTACTTGGTTACTGGGAAAAGTGTACTTGGAATAAACCAGCAAAAACGATAGATTTATTCTGTTACATAAACACTTTTATTGTACTATATGCATGTGATTGAAATGAAGAAATAACATAAAATAAATGACAGAAAAAAATGAACCCTAAAAATTAGTAAAATAACATTTTAAGATTCTTGGTTTTCTGAAGCTCTCCCTGGCACACCACTGGGAGTCTCAATCTCCACTGGGTCTCCATGCGGAGGTCTTAGACAGGAATCGTTTTTTCCACCGGCACTCTCTGGAACCAGTACGAGAGTGGATTATTCCCTTGAGTCCGTCTGCAGCAGCTCCATTCTCTGGTTCTTGCTCTCCCCGCTTTCACCGAACCTAGTCCCCACAGTGTTAGCCAATTTTAGACCTACCGGTATTTCAAATTTGTCTTTTATCACTAAGATTCTGGAGAAAATTGTCTTACAGCAGTTGCAGGGTTTTCTAGCTGATAACATGATTTTTGAAAATTTTCAATCTGGTTTTAAAAAATATTAATACTACTAAGACTGCACTGTTGAAAGTTTTAAATTATGTTTTAGTAACCTGTGATTCTGGCAAATTATGCTGTGGCTTGTTCTCTTAGATTTGACTGCTGCATTTGATACAGTGGATCATGATGTTTTTATTGCCCGGTTGGAGCACTGTGCAGGCATTAAAGGTAGAGCCCTGAATTGGTTTAAATCTTATTTTTCTAACAGAAGTTTTTCATATGATGCGATTTTAAAGATCATTATTTTGTGTATTTGGTATAACAGAATATGCTAATAATGCTTTAATGTTAAAAAAACACATTATTTTTCAAATACTGTACATCATTGTAGGTCCTCTATGCCCCGCCTCTCTCAAACATGTCATTTTCAACCATAGACTGTAAGTTTTCAACAAAGCCCCCTCCTTTGACAAGCGCAGTCTGCTCTGATTGGCCAGCTGACCCAGTGCACCCAGTGCACAGTGATGATGCAGTACACAAGCCACGGTTAAGACAGCTGACGTGCTATGATTTCTGACAGGCAGTTCACTCCAAAGAGAAAGGAAAAATTTAAATCGCATCATATGACCCCTTTAACATTGGAGAGCATTTTTCTAGCGATTCTTTTTTTATCATGTGGGGTTCCTCAGGGATCCATTTTGGCTCCCATTCTTTTTTCTTTTCATGCTCCCACTGTTCTGTTTTAGGAAATATGTGCTGTCATTCCACTGTTATGCTGATGACACCCAAGTTTATCTGCCCTTAAAAAGAAATTCAGACTGTCTGGACACTCTCATGACCTGCTTGTCAGATGTAAAGGCCTGGCTGTCTCTAAACTTTCTGAATTTCAATGAGAGTAAAACGGAAATTATTGTATTCGGACCAGTTTTTTTACTTCGTTACTTTAGCCTACTTAAGTACATTTTTCAAGTATCTGTACTTTACTGGAGTAGTTTTATTTTGAGTAACTTTTACTTTACTCCACTACATTTTGTAAAACATATCGTTACTCTTTATTTTGAAGTGAAGAAATCATCACGTGCTCTGAGACCCAAAAGCGGTGTCCGATTCATGAACAAACTGATTCATTTTCAATGAACCTGATAAATCGGTTCGCAAATCGCACTAAACAATTAATTCGTGAATTGGGCTGATCCGATTGCAGCTGCAAGAAATCCTTTATTCTTAAAAATAATAAAAAAGCAGTGCATCCACAATTTTTTTAATAATAATAACCACACTGCACATTTGGCATAAATTATATCAATGATCTAAATCCAACGGGGATCCAAAACACAGTCTTCCTCAAGGCCACTTGACACCATTTCACAGTTTGGAAGGCACCAGGAAGTATCGTACATGTGATCATGCCAGGTTTTCTGCATTGGATGAACTTGGTAGTCGATTTTTTAAACTCTCCCTACACTGACCTTCACAACATTGACCTGCACTCTAATAACAACCCTTTCATGCTTATACAAGTGATTAGGGTATCTGCTGGCCTTGTTGAGATCCCAGCTGAGGTAGATGCCACATCCCAGCATGCCATCTAGAGTTAGTCGAAAGCTGAAGTCTCCTGCTTTACTTGAAGGGATAGTTCTCTGAACTTTTCTGATTTGTTACTTTTGCATGAATATAAAATGTATTATTTATGTACATATTTATTGTATCAATTATTTCAATAAAACACCGTCTAACTGTTTTGTCCCTTCTTTAGTCATTTTATAATCAATGACATGGGTTCATACTTTATAATTAGGAACTTAATGATAACCGGCACATCTAAAAACTTTTGAACTCCCACTTAAGTGCATCTGATAAAGCTGACACACTCTTTGCATGAATGCTGTGGGCTGGCAGAGAAATTAAACTTATTTTTAGTTGTGCCTCCAATACAAGAACTTTCAATATATTTTAATTTACTCATACGACACATATATAAATGTTAGTGCTTACATAGAATAAAATTGCTGCGTCAAATTAAGTGTAAATATGTAATCAGAGAAACAACAAAAACTACAGTACATTTTACTCACTCTTGCTGCTTCAGGAGATTGCAATTTTTCTTTATGGCCTCATAAAACCTTTACTGCTGTGTCATAGGCTTCAGCTCATTGGTTAAAGGTGTGTCCAAGATTAGACTGAATCAGACTGAATTTGTCATCGCAGAAGTAAGTAACATATCCGACTATTTGTGATTATTTAAACAAATGTTCTCATATTCTACCAAATGTACAGACTACCAAATGTACAGTATTCCTTTGTACTGACTTCCCTCCCTATTTCTGCTGCTCTATAACCAAACTTGAACATGAAAACTGTTTGTAGATTTGTTATTTTTTGTCTTAAGGTTTAAACATGTGGGCAGAGAGTGACTTGTATCCAGGTGTGCCGTGTCTTCAAAGCACTACAGAGCCTGTGAATGGTAATGTATACCGAATGTATCACGGCACCACTGAAAGAGCAGCACAACAGATCAAAATCTCTGGCTTTCAGCCATCTGCAGATGGCATGCTGGGACGTGGCGTCTACCTCAGCCGAGATCTTAACAAGGCCAGCAGATACCCAATTGAAAAGCCATGTGAGAGAGTTGTTATCAGAGTGAAGGTCAATGTTGGGAGAGTGAAGAAGATTGACCATCAACGTCATCCACTGCAGAAAACCTGGCATGGTGAAGGGTACGACACTGCCTGGTGCCCTCCAAAATGTGGCATGGTGACCAGCGGCCTTGAAGAAGACTGTGTTTGGGATCCGAATCGAATCACTATTATTGATGTAATTCCACCAAGCCTTCAAAGCAGGGAAAATCCATTTGAAGGTAAAGACTACACAATGTTTTATGGTACATCTAAAGAAGAAGCAGAAAAAATTAAAGCTTATGGCTTTTGTGAGTCTAATGGCATTCTTGGGCGTGGAGTCTACCTCAGCCGAGATGTACAAAAGGCTTTTTATGTCCCTGAGCATGTTCCTGAACAGCAGAGAAGTGTTCTGAGAGTGAAGGTTAATGTTGGGAAAGTGATCAAGATTGATTATCAAGGTCACCTAATGCAAACAATCTGGCATGATCAAGGTTATGACACTGCCTGGATCACCCCAAACTGCGGCATGGTGTCAAGTGGTCTTGAGAAAGACTGTGTTTGGGATCCAAGACGAATCACAGTCATTGATGTAATTTGTCCAAATTAAGGAGTATGTGCTGTTTGTTATGAGCAATGAAAAACCTAATATATGTTTTATAAGGAAATATAATGTTTTATTGAGAATGATCATTATACTGTGCTGACTATGTCTTACAAGCATTTCTGAGGCTGAGGTTAAAATCATTAAAAATATGCCTATACTGTACACATTTTTAGTTGCCTTGTAATTTTGAGTCATATACATACCTTTTTTACTTGTTCACTCTTTGTTCATTAATGGCAAAAACAAACATGTACAAGTTGAGTAGTGATTTCTTTTTTATTTGATTTAAATAGTCTTTTAGGCACTTCAAATTTTTAGATTGTAAAAATAAACATTCAAAATCTATAACAATGTAAGACTACTTATAAATAATGTTACATTCATTTACAATTCTTTTAATATAATTTGCTGTGGCTTTAATTATTCTTATCTTTTTGTTTGTATTGTATAATTGTCACTTGTGATCCCTCATAAAAGATCACCCTCCTCTGTGTGCATGAAGACGTACATAGACTTTAAAACTGTGATTGGTATTTGGCAACATGTGTTGATTTAATCTTTTTGAGCATCTCATCTGTGTTTATTGTTCTTTACCGTGACAGTTTTAGACTCCAACAGTCACAGCTAGTTTCCGGTTTCCACTAGTTGAGGTGGAGCATTTATAGGAAAACAGACCTGTAAAGTAAAAATGAAACTAAAACTTGTTGTACAGTACACTTGAATTAGATCTCTTTTTTTCAAATGTAATAAACTGGGAGAGAAAGTTTCTTTTCTATTTGATTTTTTTTATAATTTGAATTTGAATGAAACATAGTATAAAATAAATAATTATTCTATTTATTCTAACATAATATTTCCTATTGTGCAGAGATACCAAAAAATGATCATATAAATCAGCACAGTTTCTGCTTGATTTGATTTCAGTTTGATAAAAATCATTAAACCTCTAAAAGGGACACAGATCACACCCTGTTTACTTCAGACTTATCAATATATTGGGATTGGATAATCATAGTATGGGTCTCTTTGCTTTTGAAGAATACAAAGAAACAACACATTTTTGTGTTGTTTCTTTGATTAAAATGATTAATTTCATAAGACCAAATGATTAAATGGAATTACCAAATCTTATAGAGTTTACAGCAATAAAGTCCATATATAAATGTAATCATACATATTAGAGCTTACTGAGATGAGAAAGTGAAAGCTTATTCTTTCCCTCAAGTATTTTTTCCATTGTGGACACACCCAGAAAAAGCCTGCGGTTCATAAATCTGATTTCAGAGGGTCTGCATTCGGTGTTAGAAGCAACGATCAGCGGTAAGTCACTTTTTGTCAAAATATATATGGTGCTTGATTATAAACCCTCTATTCAATCAAATATATATTTTAATATATACTTTTCTATATATTTATTTAGACATATCCCACATTTGATCATTTTATCTCCCATTTTTGTTTTCACTAATATCTTACGTAGGCTATACTAAGATTATTTGTGGCTCAGGTGCAAGCATGTGGGCTGAAGATGACTTGGACCCAGGTGCTCCACCATGCCTCCAGAGTTATACAGCTCCAGAAGAAGGCAAAGTCTATATAATGTATCATGGCACATCCATACAGGCTGCGCTAAATATTTCCGAAGAGGGTTTTCAGCAGTCTGTTGATGGCATGCTTGGACCTGGTGTCTACCTCAGCCGAGATCTAAAGAAGGCCTCCAGATACCCTTTACATCTACCTGAGTATCTGAGAGCAATTGTGAGAGTAAAAGTCAATGTTGGGAGAGTAAAGAAGATTGAGTATCAAGGTCATCCACTGCAGAAAACCTGGCATGATCAAGGGTACGACACTGCCTGGTGTCCTCCATACTGTGGCATGGTGTCAAGTGGTCTTGAAGAAGACTGTGTTTGGGATCCAAGACGAATCACTGACATTTATATAATTAGTCCAATGCAAGAGGAGCAAAGTTCTTGTAGAATCCTATGAAAATGTTGAGTAGATTAAACCAATATATTTCTTTGATATATAAACTTTTCTTTCAGTTTTGTAGACTTTTTTGTCCAAGTACACAAGAAGTTGTTGAATACAAAGTGTGCTGTGAAATGATGGTTGCTTTGTGTAATGTTCTGATGCTAAAGATGGACATGTTAATGAATATTGATATTAATATGATTATGTTACATTATATACATTTTTCAGTCATCTTTCAGTTTTTTACAGATAAAAAAAAATGCATTATTGTACTACAGCTATTTTGTTATTGTCCTAGACTGTGCTTCAGTCATTTTTAACAATATTGTTTCCACTACAAATATCTAAACATTGTTAAATCAAGATATATTTACTTGAGAAGCACAATGACCTAAGATATTAAGTATAGTTTTCTGAGAATTTGATCAAAATTAAGGAGTTTCTGCTTAAAACAAGAAAAAAAATTAGATCTGCCAGTGGGGTAAAATTTTTTTTTACTCAGTTCAAAGGGAAATAAGATTATTTTTCTTACCCCATTGGTAGATATTTTTATTGCTTCAAGCATAAGATAACTTAATTTTGAGCAAAATTTCCGAAAACAAGACTTAATATCTTTTTAACTAAGATATTATAACTAAATAACAAATTTTCCTTCTCAATAAATGCATCTTGATTTTAGAACGTTTAGATAACTGGACAAGTCAAAAATGCTGAGTAAGAAATCATTTTTTGCAGTGTGCGACATTTCTGAGACCTAGTGTTTTTTTGAAACACTACAATAATTTTGACTTGAATAAAATCGCTCAATTTATATGTTTGCTACAACATGAAAAACAATTTTAGATTACCATTTTTGTACCAGCATTTGTCCCCACATATCATTCAGTGTATGGATATATAGCCAAAACAACTGTTCATTTTTAACTATTAAAACTTCTAGTTTTCTAAGACTATGTTTAAATGTTTTTATGGCTAAAAGTCTGGTGATTTCCATTGCAATCAAAATCAGGCTGGACTAGGAATTATTAGGAATATTTTCATAGACCTTTCAAAATAATGAACCAGAAAAGATATTACATTATAGATAATATTATGTCAACTACAGTTACATTTCTGTTTAATTGTATTTATTTCAAGTTTGATGCTTACTTTTTTTGTGGTCCATTTACATGAAAGCTGCAAATAAATTTAGAAAAGAGGGGGTTTCATCTGTCATCTTGTGGCATGCTCAGACATGCTTACTTCAGGCCTCCAAATATCCAAATGATACTAACAAAACTAACATAAAATAACAACTACCCATATACCACTACCCAGTACATAACTCTACCCATATACCACCATAACACCATTTATCTTTATACCTCATGTATATTCTATTAACATGCAAATATTTATGTTCTGGGCACAAAAATGCAAAGCGGTAAGATAAAAAAAAAAGTTCTACAAAGTTAATAATGATTTTTATATTTCATTATACAATAAACATTTCTTTTATAAGGGCATAATTTTACCCCTGGTATTTCTTCCAAAAAAAAAATATATATATATATATAAATAGGTATAATTGATATACAACTTATTGTTTATTTATTTATATTTTGGTGCTGGTTATTATATAAAAATTGAATGAAAAGAAAAGTAAATATATACATAAGTTGTGTAAATGTAAGTCAGGTGTTGATCTTATCTGTTTGAGCATATCAGTTCAATTGTATTGCTTGTTATCCTGAGCTGTCAGCTTTTCTGTCGTAGCTGCATAAGTAGTTTTTAATTAGGTGGGGCAAACAGTCCTCAACAGCAAAAATGAAACTTAAATTACACTAGAACTTTGTTCATAAAGAAACCGTAAAAACTCAATGGAACACCTTTCATCACGGACACACCCTGAAAGATGTGCTATATATACCTGCTTTCAGCAGGAAGCAATCAGCTTTAGAAGCAACATCAGAGGTAAGACACCACTTCGTCTTTGTGGAAATGCTGTGCTTTTGTTGGTCATAGTGTTTGTAAAGCCTATTAGTATATCATAATATAAATTACTTATATTATTTTGTTTCTCATTATGTCTTTTTTTGTAAGTCAGTTTGCTAGTGATAAAAATTATATTAATTTCTATTAATTTTTTTATTTAAATGATCCAGGTGCAAACATGTGGGCTGAAGACGACTTGGGTGGAGGTGCTCCACCATGCCTTGAGAGTTACAGAGAACCAGTAGAAGATAAAGTCTACAGAATGTATCATGGCACATCAAGAGAGAATGCTGAAAAAATCAAAGTCTCTGGCTTCAAGCAGTCTTCTGGTGGCATGCTTGGACGTGGTGTCTACCTCAGCCGAGATCTACAGAAGGCCTCCAAATACCCTCTGGATCTACCTGAGAAAGAGAGAGTGGTTCTGAGAGTGAAGGTCAATGTTGGGAGAGTGAAGAAGATTGACCGTCAAGGTCATCCCCTGCAGAAAACCTGGCATGATCACAGGTACGACACTGCCTGGTGTCCTCCAAAATGTGGCATGGTGCGAAGTGATCTTGAAGAAGACTGTGTTTGGGATCCAAAACGTATCACAGTCATTGGTGAAATTCGCCCAAAAACACAAAGAGCTCAGGGTGCCTGCAGGAATCAGCCTTACTGAAGTGTGCTTTCCCATGAAGTGTGAAATTAATAGTTCTGAAATGTTTTTTTGAGAATGTTATACCACCTGTTGAATATAAACCACACTTTGAAATGATGATCATATTGTAATGCAATGAAATAAATGATGAATAAATTAAACTTACTTCATTGACATATATTTGAGTTGTTTTCTATTATTTTTTATATTTAATAAATGAATAAAGATAAATGACAATAAATATGTGTCATAAACCAGCAAAATAAAACAAAGACAATATTTCCAGAGAACATGGCATTAACTTTCTATGTCTTATTTAGCCAGTCAGTCAGCGAGCAGAAGGCATGCATTTTCTTCTAAAAATACATAAAATTAAACTTGCCTTTGCTTCTTAGACAGTAAATGATAACACTGACATATATTGCACACTGATCCTGAGGCTTTGACCTTTTCATTCCCAGAAAAATTAAAGCCAACATAAGCTATTTGTCAAACAGTTTCCACCGTGATACCAGGTGCTGATCATTTACCATCCCATACCCTGTCAGTCTTGAATAACATGAATAACTTGATCTGCACTATACATTTTGACATGTGT